AATAACTATCAACCTATTTCTTTTCATTCTAACTTGCCTAAAATGGAAAAATAATGTGCATTTTAAAGTGCTTTAAGCTGTCTGTATATGCATTTAATATGTTGGTACTAGGAATATGGGTTTTTCAAGCTGCATATATCCTGAAGTTGCATTAAGCTTATTTTTATGTGTATTAAATAACTTGCTGTTTAATAGAAAATTTATTTTCACAAGTGACTTACCAGTTACATATTTTCATTAGTTGGCTTAAGTAGCAGTTTTTAATGTATTTTTTAAAAGCTTTCTCTGAGCATTTGAAAATGCACAGGTTCCTCAGCAGCCAGTGGAATCTCTTATTTTCATTTTTGCATCTCAGAATTTATTCTGTGGCCACAGTTCTTGTGTTCTAAGGAGGTGAGATAGCTCTGCCCTGGGGACGTGGCCTTTGTGGTCCAAGCAGGTCTAATATTAAATGATTATGGCAGCTTCCTCTTTCCAAAGAATGAAGGATCCTGTTCACACAGTTCTTCAAGTCCCAGGGGCAGGAAAAGCTAACAGCCCTAATCAGAAATAAAACCTCAGACTTTTGTGTGGCAAATCAGGGCTAAAGTAAAGAAAGTTAAAAGAACCATATTTTTTTAAAAATTGTATTTAAACAAAATAGAAAAAAAAAAATGAAAAAGAAAAAACCCAAAACAAACAAACAAACCAAAACCAATAAACCCCACCCAGAAAACAGGATACTACAAATTTGCTCCAACAACCTGTTCTAGTAGGTCTTAATACTAGTACCATAGTGATATATTGTAAATAATGAATTTCATCCTCCTTTCTGGAATGGGATTAATAAATTATGGATGTGTCATTTTTTTGTTTATTTTTCAATAAAATACAATGTATTTGGAAATATTCCAGCTTTCATGTAAAAAGTGAGAGTTTGTAAGACCTACTGGTAAATTTAAGAATCTCAAAAAAAACCTTGAGATTAAAGTTTTAATGGCTATAGCTAGTAAAACAGTCTAACATAAACACACTCTTACTTGTGGGAGCTCAGATTGTTGCATTCATGAGTGATGAAAACTTCTCTGAATGCTAATGAAAATAGTTCTTCATAAAGAAATTGTAGTGGGATGTGCTAGTATGTTTAATAAACAAATTTTCATTTGATGTGTTATTTTTAGGCATTCTAAATGAAATAGCTGTTGGCAGTCAGCACTGAGAGCTTGTAATTTATCATACAGCGACCTGAAATGGTTCTGTTACATACTGGGAAAAAAGATAGCATACCTGGGTAACTTATTGAAGTCATTGCAGTGAGTCAGGGAGAACAAAACGTGAATCACAAATAAAGAGAGTGAAGCTGGATGTGTGGGTATTGTTATAACAGAAATGATTCTGTATTCATCTATCAAATTGTAAATAGCATTTTTTCAGACTAAAAACAGTCTTCTGCCATTTGTCCACTGGTGAAATAGGAATTTGGGAGAAGTTGTAGGTGTGGGATTATTTTTTTTTTATTTATTTTTTTCTGTGCAGCCTTTGTAACTGCCTTCTGTAATGCCTATAGATTGAACTTTTCTTATACTTGAATTCATTACCTTCATTACTGTTCCTTTATGCTTGGGCTTAAATCAATTAGGAAGCTCTCCTACTCATTTGCTATCACCCCAGAAGGGAGGGAAAGCTTGCTCTCTTGGGTTGTATTTTTTCTTGTGGAACGTAAAGCAATTATGTTTCTTAGTCTTTGTCTGTTCCAGACACTATATTTTCCCTGAAAATATTTCTCCCTAAAGAGACTAAAGAAAAAAATTTGGCTTCTTTTTTCTCCTTTGAGTTCTAGTATAAAATGTCATGCTAGTGATTCTGTGGGACTGTTTGAGTTCTAACATATAATTAGACACTCTAAACTTTGCCTCCATGAGTTCGTAATGTTCAAGAGAAGTCAGTCAAGATAATCTGTATTGATAATAATCTCCCAGATATTTTACAGCTTTGTTATAGTAATGATGATAACAGCTTTTTATTCCAAAGCTCTTTCATGAATTCTGAAGCCACCATTAATAACATTTTCTCACCTGTATTTTGGTAGAGGGCAGATATGCTCAAATCCTCTGTGGAGCCAAGTTGAGTTACATTTTAGGCTCCTCCAGCTTTATCGTTTGAGCAAAATGATGAGCGCCTCCTGAAGTCTGATTTGGCTTCTCTTTTTTTCAGTTACAATTTTTGGTATGTGAATGGATGGCATGTGTCACAAAGCCATGTAAGTCAATCATTTGATCAAACTAAGATTTCCTATTGTAGAACAGCAGTTAAAACATTCAAAATCAGGTGAGATTAGTATATTTGAGAATCAGCAGAAGGTGAAAAAGATTATGGGACCCAAGTGAAATAGTAATTTATTGTAAGTGCTACAGTGCATTGATTAGTTCCAATTTCCATTCTAAATATGCATGAAGATGGGAAATATGTCCTGTGGGGCTGGGTATTGGAGGAGTTGTCTTCAAGGACTGCTGGCAGTTTCTGTGAACACCCAGACTGTGAAGTTCAGGATTTCTACCAGCCACTTGGAGGTCTGAGGGGACAGTGTGGTAGGAGACAGTTCTCTGTGTAGGGAACTGTATATGCATCAGTTCTTCCCATGGTTGCCCTCTTCATGAACTGAAGATTAAGGCAGAAATTACAGTGGTGTTGCCTAGTCCTTTCCCTTCATCTCTTTCTCCATGAGAACAGCAAGAAAATGTCATTTAAAAATATTTACACAGTTCTTCAGTTGTATGGGTAACTCATAAGAGTCCTGGTAAACTGTGGATGCAGATTCCCCATGTGGAAGGGAGGGTGTACTGGGCAGGCTGTGGAGCAGAGGAGTTTGTTCACACTCCAAATGAGCTGAGCTAGTTTAGGTGCTAGAATTAATCAGTGTGTGGCAGTATGTTTTTCCCTAGGGAATAACTTACCCTATTTCTGGGTAAGTTATTATATATAAGGCTTCCTGATGTTGCAACTAGAGAAATGGGAATAGTAATATGAGTGGGTGTAATATAACCTCGAGATTTGGTATGGGATCCTTCAATAGTCTGAAAACTGCAGTAACATACTTCAAAACTGGCTTATGGCTTGTGATTGATCAGTGGTTCTGATTATCAGGGCTAAATAAGTTATTGTATCAGGTAAGAAATAATGTGGCTTTTAAAAAACATTCATTCTCCAAAATCCTAATTAACCCACTGCTTATCTCCTGTTATCTGCAGACATTTTTGCTAGAAGGTTATTACTAGTATATTATTATATTAGTATATTATATAGATATTACTAGTAAAAACAGTAATTTTGAAATGTTTCGTTCCAAGTTTAGGTTTTGGTAACATGCCACGTCACAGAAGTTGCTTTATCAGCAGCTCAGATTTTGAGGAATCTTAAGGAGCTGTCAATTATCTGAAGTAATTCTCAAGTAATTATTTATGGCTGAGTAATTTTTAAGGCATGATAGCACGTTCTTCTTTGAACATTGTACAAACTTCTTTTTCTTTCACATGAGCTTCACCTCGCCCATGTTTTCTTTTGAAGGGGAAATAACTCTACATGACTGTGCATTAGAATTAGTATTTATTGTTAATTATGTTGCTTCTTCGGTATAACAGCATGATTAACTTTGACTTGGTTTTGTGATTTATGGATGAGTTTAATTTTGTGTGACTGTTGTTTAAAACTATTTCCTTATAACTTGTATTTTAAGGATACTTCCAATTTAGTGGTAAATAAGATCATAGTAAAATGAGATCAATATTTTCTGTATGTCTTGAACTCTGCAGGAAAATTAGAAACTCCAGGGCAGAAAAACAGCTGTCACCAGATATGTTGTTGTTTTATAGAAGCTAGATAGTGCAGGACCCTTGACCTTGCTTGAAGCTCCTCAAGTCAGAGAAACCCACTGAACATACCTGGTGTCATTTTACATAGCATCAGACAGTGTGTGTGCCTTCCTGGAGAGAGTGATTTTTGTGAAGTGATAGTTGGGGTTTTCCAGTTTCTCTTCATGTTTCGATAGTGTAGTGGTTGCAGCCTTCAGTTTGTTGGAATATTGGAATATTCATTGTATGAAAAGTGCATCTTTCTTGTTTGCTTGTTTGGGTTAATGTCAGTAGATTTTGGTGGTTGGTTTGATTTTTTTTTTTTCCCATCCTGCTTTCATAAGTTCACATTTTATGCGGGTTTTGGACAGTTCATAGTGCACAGATCCTATTTCATGGTCAGGTGGAGCATGAGTTCTGATGAGGATTTGAGGGCCAAGTCTCTCTGCCATTATCTTTGTGTCAAAGGACACGGCAAGTTGTCATCTTGGCCTTCTTCTGTCTTTTCCCCTCTGTATTTTCACTCCTTGTTCTCCTCAGCTGTTACAGGACTCATTTTCTTGTGCCATACATGTAATGTGTTGAATTGACATCAACACACTGTGCTGAAACAGAAACTTCCCAGTTTCCAGTGTCATGCTGAGAAAGTTATAGGTGGAGACAGCTTCAGGTCATTTACCTGGTAAATCTGTGCCTGGTCTCTTTTACCAGAGTTGCTGGTAACCCCTTGGGTGGGTGCTGCTATGAGAACCATCCACTGATGTCTCCCTGCAAAATGCATATGCCAAGCAGCAGATGCAGGGAGGGAAGAAAAAGCAGACTGACTATGCTGCTCTTCATGGTTTTTTTAAAAATAAATGAATTTAAGTATTTGTGTAAAACAAGCTAAGCAAGTAAATGTTGCATTGCTCTCAAATCTTTCAATCTATAATCTATAAAGAGCTGAAAGTAGCTGTTACAGATTAATGGTTGCCCACTCATGCTGAATGGTTTAACTCACGTGGGAAAGCAGAAAAGTCTCACTGTCACACCTATAAAAGTAACATACAGACTTCTGCTTTTATCTTTCCTCTCCTTCTGGAGAACTTGAGAGAAGTAAAATGGGTTGCCAGCATTTTTTTTATTTTTTTTAATATGACTAATAATATTCTTTACCTTTATTTCTTTGCCTAGGGTATTTATGTACGGGATGCACCTTTGAAGGACATAAAAGTGTTCAACGCCCGACGATTTGTAGCCCTTTTCAGTGTGGTAAACGCCACGAAGCGCGACGCTGGCAACTATCGCTGCATGATCCGGACGGAAGGAGGAGTTGGTGTGTCCAACTATGCAGAGCTGATAGTCAAAGGTACTTCACCATACAAATCAGTATTTGCATGCTCTGTGTATGGAATCAGGGCTTGCAGCTGCTAATGCAGTAAGAATGTCGCCCATAGACTGTTACACTTGATAAGAGGTTCAGTAAATAGGTTTTGCTTATGTAAATCTTGAGAGTCTATCCAGCTGTAACAAGAGAGTGATGGAAGAAACCAGGGCTAATTAACTAGGTACTTGTTGATTGCTGTTTTAGATATTTTCCAAAAAAAAAACCCCACCCTTTAGACCTGTATATCTTTAAAAGCTTTTATTTAAAGTATGAACATAATAATGGCTACTTGCCTCCTTTGTGGAGATTGTACAAGATTTACATTAAAGTGAACACATAAAATACACATATTTCAGTATATGGAGGGGTGTTTTTAATAACTTTTGGGAACACTTAGATGTAAGTAGAATTGGGAATCATCTGTCACTAGTAGAAGAAGATGCAAGAAAGCCATAATGAAGATCAAACCATTTTCCAAAGAATAGGGTTTTAGTGAATGTGTTGTAGAGAAAATGAAGAGAAACAGAGCAAGAGAAGGATGTTGGAAATAGCCAGGGTATGAAGATAACAAGACAAAACAAATTGTAGAATGAAAACATAGGAGAGCTATTTGAATGGATAGATGAAAAAAGAAACAAATAGAGTGGGTGAGATGAGAATATAATTATAAGGCATGGTAGAAAAAAATGAGGTTGTTTCAGTCCAAGCATGAAAAGAAAATAAAGTAGGTGGCCAAAAATAGATACATATGAAAGTCAGCAAAGAAAGCAAGCATGGACTATAACCACAGTAGGAATGATGAAGCATCTTTCAGAGCTAACACCAGTGAAAACAAGGAGGAATGAACACTGCCTGAAGGAGGCAGAGGGAGGAGTTCTGGAGTACTGCGTCAGTGATGAGAGGTACAGGAAGCCAAAGGAGTTAATTTCTTCTCAGTCTCTTTGATTCAGGGTGTTTTAATTTGTTAGTGCTTCTTTTGAGGCGCAGTAGATGAAATTATGAAGCGTATCATTAAAGCATTTGTGCTTACCCGGATTCTTTCAGAAAATTTGCACTGGGCACTGTGAGTAAGTGGATAGCCTTAGGGTGTAATCCCATTAACTACTTGTAGAGTGGCAAAGTAATTATGGTAATCCCCATTGCCTGTATTGGAGCTTTTATGAGACCACCTGCAGGTCACTCCTTCTGACCTAAAAAGACCCATTTTAAACGTGCTGTAAAACCTTAGATGACTGTACTGAACAGCAGCATTAGGGGCTAATTAATAAATATGCTTTCTTGTTGATCACATATAGTTAAGAAGTTGTATTTTCTCATTTTTAGCAGGTTTTCTGCTATATCAGTTACCAGACTTCAAAGATAATGGCTTGATTTCAGTGCATGCAGCTATGTATTTTTTTAATCCATTGCCATCCATAAATCATGAAGAATGTACATATGCCCACACTGCATGTAATGTTTAGTATACTTGGGAACTGCTGATGGCTTAATAATAATATTTGTAAAAACAGTGGTGTAATTACTCCCCCCTCTTTGTTACAAACAACAAATTTAATTCTCTTCTTATTTACGCTGGTGTAACTAAACTGACTTATGAGGAATTTCCTTGGAATTACATTGCTAGAATGACAGGAGAGTCAAACAGAGCATTTATAAGTTAAAGAGAATCAGTTCTTCAGAGTTATCATGCTCTGTTTCATACTGGTTGCTGAGCCTGTAACTCAGGTTGCAAAAAGTTCTGCACTGGAATAGGGCTTTTTTCAAAATATGTTTGCTTTTAAGTAGAGAGGTATGCACAGTAGAGTGGGTTAGAACTCTGTACAACATTCATTCTACTTCATTGTAGACAAAGTTTCACTAAATAGGAACTTACTCTAAGTAGATTCCAATTATGTGTGTAAGGATTTTTAAGCTTTGTAGTGCTGTTGTGGTATGATGTGTGGCACTGGAGACCAGGTACCAGAACTCTTGAAAAGAACAGAAGGGCTGCTAGTTTCAGGTGATGAAAATCAAATCTGCAATCATGAAGGAATAGGAATGAAATCTTGAAAATGAAAGACATGTAAGAAACTGCCAGGTATTCTTGTTCTCTCTTTTTTTTTTTTCTTTTTTTCTTTTTTACCTGAGTGAGCATGTTATAGCAAGGTTTCAGCAGTATGGAGGGGGAAAAGGTCACAATTTAAGAGCTGTCAGTTCTGCTATTAAGTAATTATAAACATGAATATTGTCTAGTTAATGAGGAAAAGCTTGTCAGTGAACAATTAGACTGGTATTAAAAAGCAGGGGGAGGAAAGAAAGGGGATTTTTTTGAAAACTCGTTTATGGTAGCTTATATTCCTTTTAGAGGGTGGTGAAGTAAAGTATTGATTGTTCTATTTAAATAAATCCTGAAGGGGAGGTTTTCAATTTACCTGAGCATTTGTTCTGATAAGAAAGGATGAAAAGACAAGTGCCTTGTCATTGTATGTGCTCGAACTGCACAGTATCCTCATCTAAGTTTGTCAGAGAATTGGATTGAAATGTCAGTTTATCTAATGGGAGGCATGAAATTGGCCTTGTCAGATAACCCACTTATTGTAAAAAACATCGGCTCGTATCTAATAGATGACATAAAAGTAATCAAACATTGAGCAAAAGGAAAATAGTCGGGTAGAATTGATTAAATATGTTTGGTGAAGTAAATTAGAGATCTACATGCAGTCCCTAGGTTGAAGTTTTCTAATAGTGGGCAGATCCAATACAGATTAGATTTAGGAGAACAGAATGAGCCTGTCTAGCAGACATCAGATTATTGCAGAGTTCAGACTGCTTATTGAGTTCGAACAAGGTAAACCTAAGTGTCAAATTGGTTAAAAGGAGTTTGGTTAGGTTTTTAAGCAAGGGCATAGAAAGGTAGCCATCTGTAATGCTGGCAGCTTAAATGTCTGCATTTTCCAAGTGGAAAATTTAACACTGGGAACAGAACCAAACCTCTTCAGGACCTCCAGAGCAAAGAATTCCTTCTGGAGGGCAAAGTCATTTTGGCATCAAGACATAGTAAGAAAATATCAACAATTACTTATCTGTGGTATCAGTTGTTCTCATACATTAAATATACACAGATACTTGGCATCTGTTTTTGCTCTCTCCAATTAACCTTTCATGGTGGATCCATCACTGTCTGTACCCCTCTTTTTACCATCAGTGCTGGCATTAGGACTTTCATTGTTGCCTAACAATTCCTATAATGAAGTCCAGTTGCATATGCTCATTTTTTGGCAGACTGACTGGGGGCTTATATTTTTCAGTGTGAGTGTGTGCCTAGAGGTGTTGAGAAAACCTCCATCTAGGAGAGTTGATATACATCATCCATCTTAGCAAACTTGCCATAGGAAAGTGCTGAAGGCTCTGGACTTTGAAACAGTAATATTTTTTCAGGAGGGTACTAGTTATGTCAAGAATGCTGTTTTTCTCTTCCTGTGAAAATCTGTTCTCAAATATAGTTATTTAAAAAGCTATTAAATAAAACCCCAAAAGATCCTGAGGCTTCTTTGAGTTCATCTTTCAAATTCCCCCAAAATTCTAGATACAGTGTACAGAATTTAATTGCAAGCAGGGATCTGAGCTGCTCTGGGAGCAGGCTGGATCCAGGCACAGGGATCAAGACCTATGAGCTTAACATTTGTGTGCTTTTAGTATACAGTCCTCCATCTAACTGAATCCTTGTACTTTGAGAGTAAAATGGTGATGGATTAACAATGTGGATAGTGAGGAGTGCAGGAACAAGAAGCTACATACCCCGATGAGGTTGTTTGTGCTGGGATTGAACAGAAAGGCAAACTCAAGATGTTTTGAAATGAGAGGGAAAGTATTTAAAAATTAGGACTACACAAGTACCGAAAGCTGGGGAGAAAGAGATGGGGGTGCTGGTCCTCAGCCACTGAACCTGAGCCAGCATGTGTCTGGGTGACCAGGAAGGCTGATGGCTCCCTGGCCCATATGTGGCCAGCAGGACCAGGGCAGGGATTGTCCCCCTGTGCCAGGCAAAGATGAGGCCAACCTTGAGTGCTTTGTCCAGTTCTGGTCTCCTCACTACAGGAAAGACATTGAGGTGCTGGAGTGAGTCCAAAGAAGGGCAAGGAGCTGGTGGGAAGTTTGGAGAGTGGGTCAGGAGCAGCTGGGGGTGCTGAGGGTGTTTAGCCTAAAGAAAAGGAGGCTCAGAGGGGACCTCATTGGTCTCTACAGCTGCCTGACAGGAGGTCGTGGCCAGGAGGGGGTCAGCCTCTTCTCCCAGGCATCAAGGGACAGAACAAGAGCTTATAGGCTCCAGCTCTGCCAGGGAGATTTGGGTTGGACATAAGGAAGAATGTTTCATTGAAAGGATGGTTAAGCACTGGAACGGGCTGCTCAGGGGAGTGGTGGGCTCCCATCCCTGAAAACATTCACTTTATGCCATGGTTTAGCTGGCATCTTGGTGTTTGGTCAAAGGTTGAATTCAGTTATCCTGGAGGTTTTTTCAAACATGATTCTATGATTTTGTGACAAAGAGGGGAAGGTAAACATATACACATTCATGTATTTGCAAAAAGTGAGGAAGTAGATTTTGCCATTTTTCAAGATAGTGCTTCTGACCTGCAGAGAAGAAAATGTCTGGTTTTGTCTTCTTTAACTGACATAAATCTTACGGGTTTACATGATCTCCAGTGGCAAGTCAGTGTGATTCCTTTACCCTCCCAATTAAATTTTTAGAAGAACTGCAAAGTAAAAGATGTTAAGATGTTGTAGAAAATGTTTGGAAAATCTGTATCATTTAAGTGCAAAGCGGTTTAAATGAAGAAGTCCCAGTTTCAAGTGTGTTTTCAATTAATAGAAAGTGCATAAGAATAAATAGTTTACGTTCATGTATGGCTATATTTGTTTTTATCCTCTGTGCAAGAGAAGGGATGCTCCTTATCATGAGGACTGTCTTTTTCTTCTATTTAATACAAATGATCCACTTCTGTAGAGTAACCTGAGAGCACCTGCTGAAAGCTTTCTGTCACCTGCAGACCTCTGGCTTTGTAAGGTAGCCACTGTTTCCTTTCCCTAAGGGATTGTGCCCAAATTGTCATTTGTCAGAGAATTCAAGAGGAGGTCACATGTCTGTTCAAAGTCTAAAAGGCATAAAATTTGAAATATGGATCCACTTACCTTCTTTTTCTCAGTTAATATTCTATTTTAAAAACCTACATTTAAAAGGGCTTCACAATACTGAATAGCTTTGTCTGCTTGCTTCAGGAGGAGATCTGCAAGGAAGAGCTCCTCTTTAAGTCATTGTATTTAAATATCCACTGCTACAAACTTATTCCTGCTGTCAGCTGAAAATCCTTCCTTGAACATACACAGCCCTGAAATATCAAGTATATTTTACTGTTTCATAAAGGTATTAATTTGCATGTTATTTAATTGAGACTATCTCAGTGTCTGCCAGTAAAACTGCTTTTAGTGAGGGACAGTAGTGCTGCAGTGTGGTATTTACCTAAGTGATTCAAACTCCTCAGCATCCTAAAAATTTTGAATCATTCTGTCGAAAGAAAAAATAAATTAAAAAGACAAAATAATATATTTCAGACTTCAGTTGTGAAATCAGTTTAATTATATTTGGGTATACAGTGTTTTTATTAGAGGATCTGCTTAACTGATCTCATGTTTTTAACCAGTCACTTAATATGAGCATTATATTTGTAACAAAAGGTTTGTTTTTTTAGGTTAGGTAGTCTCGATCTCTGGAAAGAAGGTAACTTCTGGTGTTAAACCATGTTAATAGTATGAAATTGCAGCATATGCAGGTTTTGCTAAAATAATGTAACTTGAATTAACCTTTTTCATTGTGGTCCCAGAGAAATAAAAAACATGCCCTGAGGTATAAAAAGACAATAAAATACTGTCCGTTTCAAGTACTTGTAATATTTGGAATGAATTGGTGTAACCACTAACCTTAGTGACCTAACTCCTGAGTTTGCATTTTGAATGGCACTTCAACAGCCTTTAGTAGCATTTGAAACTTGAAAGTAATTAACTGTTCTTTCAGCATGGCTAAGTAAATGCCTTAGGATGCTTTATAAAAGTTCCATTTCATGTCTTGGTTCACAAAACAGCCTAATGATTTAAATTGATGCTAAATCATTTTGAGTCAAGTCAGAAGTGTTTCCAGACATACTATCACTGTATGAAGCCATAGTGTATATACTTAGGAAGAATAGTTTCAATAAAACTGCAGTATGTTTCTAACTCAGCAATGACATCGGTTTGCCATATATTGCTGTAGACATAAAACAATGCTTTCACTGCTGATTTGAAAAATCTAAACAATGTTCTTTATATCCTGCAATCTGCCACAATACATTAAGCTATTTTTATGTCTATTCCAATTAGTAGTGCTTAATGTATGTCTTTGGAGATTTTCTGGTGTTTTGCCCTTTGTATTGTGTTTTTCATGATAGTAATCATTTAGTTTTGTTAAGATGAAAACACACAGTGCTGACGTCTGTGTTTGCTGGTCTGTAGTGTTGTATTTCAGCAATTGCTAACAGATTGCACAGATCAAAGTTTGCATACAAGTGTACCCTGCTAATTAGAAACACCATCTATCTGAGGCTCAGCTAATCTTCAGTGTACTCAGTGCTCTGAGTTACTCTTTCTATAAATGAAAAAAGATAGCTTACTGTATGATTATTACATATTTCTTAAAATAGCAATTTTGCTATTCCTCAGGAAATATTGAATGTTTCTTTGCTTTAACTGTGACTTTGAAGACCATGACAAAATGATGAAATACATAAATTCAACTTCTTGTCTGTTTGACTACCTGTACCTCAACACAGAGGGAAATAGCAGAAGAGGATAAATCTGAATCTAAAGGTTAGGGAAGACAGCTGTCCTGCATTCATTCCATATTCTGTGTAGCCTTGAGAAGGTGGCAGTGTTTGCTGATAGATATGTTAAGAATATTGGATCAAACAGTGCCTTATTATGGTGGCTCAATTTCATTCTACATGAATATATTTAACCAACAGGAAGGCGAATTTTTTTACAGATATGATGCATGAAACAGCAGAGTAATTTAACCAGTAAAGGAAAAAACGATTTATTATTTACCTTTCAAAAAAGATGATGTCTGCAAATTATTTCTGCAGTCTAATTTAAAATTAGATGCCCATCACAGAGTAAATTAAAGTGGGTTTAAAACTTTGGTTGCTTTTGAAATCTTTAGAATCCAGTCTATCAGGATATCACATGCATGCTTGCTCTGTGATACAGAGTACATTTCTGTGTGATAGTTAGTGAAAATAGCCATTACATGAGGCAGAAACAGACTTGTAGTAAAAACTCAAGAAATCCCCCAGCTTTCAGAAGCTCTTTAATTTTAACTGAATTATAGAACTCGAAAAATTACTGTATTTACTCTGCTTACACAAAAGTCTGAAAATACAAAGGGTGGATAGTTAAGTACATAAAAAATAATTAATAAAATAATAATTTTGTTTCTGTGCAGAAATTCATATCCTTGTTATGTGTAAGGATAGGCTACAATATAAATTTCAGCTTAATTTTTTTTTTTTAGTAGGATTAATATTAATATCTGGAACAAACTGTATTTGTATGAGAAAACCTGAAATTATCTTCCTTTTTAAGTTGGGGGTTGCCATGGAATGTGTAGTGAATAGAATTCAATTTGCACCTGGTTTCAAGTTACGTGGTATAAACCAAAGGCTGCAGGTTAAAATCTCCAAGTGCATAAGCAAAAGAATCTGAATATTGCAGTTTAATGAAAATGAGTCAGTCTGTGGTGGTGATTCCTTCATATCCATATTTTTATGCAATCTTCAACTGTAATGTAATACAAACCCTGTTGCTTATTTGAATGTTTTGAAGCAGAAAAAGTGTAATCATAGCTTATTATCATACCTTACTGTTTTTCAGAGCCACCAGTTCCCATTGCTCCACCTCAGCTATCCTCAGTTGGTGCAACTTACCTGTGGATACAGCTGAATGCCAATTCCATCAATGGGGATGGACCCATTATCCAAAGAGAAGTTGAGTATCGAACTTCCAGCGGAAGCTGGTACGACATACAACCCGTGGACTCCACAAGCTATAAGATTGGGCACCTGGATCCTGATACAGAATATGAAATCAGTGTATTACTTACAAGACCAGGTGAAGGAGGAACAGGGTCTCCTGGCCCAGCTCTCAAAACAAGGACAAAATGTGCTGGTGAGTACTCCAAGGTGATAGGAAAGTTGTAAGCATCTTTCTAGGGCTGAAGACATAAGTTATTTCACTAGCAGTTTTTACTGTCTGTCTTAAAGCAGCAGGTTACAGGAATTAAGACTGAATGGTTTTAAGTATAACCTATTAGCATTTTCTAGCTACAGTGACCTTGAAAGCAACCTTCTGTGCGACTGTAGATGAAATCATGACTGTGTGTGCTTTTTTCTTCTTTCAGTGTCAGTTATATCAAACTTGTAGATAAAGTGGAAAGAGATCCTGTGTAACAGCAAAAGCATTCACTGTTGAGTCTCAATTAGCAGATGAGGTTTAGCAAAGGACTGCTTTCTTGAGTGACTGACAGCATGTCTCTTTACTAAATGAGATAGTGTGATTTCTGGGGCGTTGTAGCAATCTTGGCTCCTGTTTTGGATGATAAAATTAATAGAGATGACCTCTGATTGTAATAGCATACAAAGTTCACCTATTATACAGAAGCAATTGTAGAATAATTTTCAGTGAGACTGGCAGTGATATTTAGTTTGGGATTTAGCTGCTCAGAAAATAATAGAGGATACTGTGACCTGGATTTTCTTTGGTCATTAGTATTTTCACCCAATATTTTGAATCATCTCTCTGCTGCTGTAAAGCTGGTGGAAGGTAGGCAGGAGTGTAGCTAGAGAATATGACAGTAACAAGTGGTGGTAGCTTATTGTTCCTAGTCTTTTAAAGAATGACTTGGTCTTACTTGCCTTTTTAACAGAAGAATTACGTACCTCAACAGAAATAATATATTTCCATTGCATCTATTTTTTTTGTAAAGTCACCTGGCCATTTGTGAGTAAATGTCATTTCAGTTGAATTGGATTTGTGTGATGTCAAACACAAAATGAAATAGAGTTGCTGTCAGAATCCCACTATTATGTTCTAAAGATGCAAACTTACACAAGTACTAATTCTTTGGTGTTATTTTTGGTATTTTTCTTCCTCTCAGTACTGGAAAGAAGTATTTAATGAAAAGTACCAGAAAGCAGTACAGCTACATTATAATAATAGATAAGTATTTTGTATTTATAAGATTTTCTCTACTAGGTTAAGATAGTAGCTCAGTCAGAAGTGGAGCATAAAAATGAAATATAGTTCCCTTCAGGAGGGTTTCTGGGTCACTGTGCCCTTCATAATATTGTAAATGTGTGTCTAGACAAGGTAAGTACGTATTTAATACACAAGTATTTCAGTTATTTTAAAATTAAACAGTTTTTCTGATAGTCTTTTCATCTGCTTGTAGGATCAGGTAATGCAGTACTGGGTGCTATATGAGTGAGCCTGTCTCTCCTGTAGGGTTGTGTTGTGTTACCAACCTTGGATTAGTCACAAACCAAAATGCAGCACCAAACAGGCTACTATGAAGGAAATTTAACTCCACCTCAGCCAGACTTAGTAGAGAGTGATATCCAGAACTTTAGTTATATTTAAGGATATCACATGCTTTCTGTTCTGCTCTGTGGTGCATAATGTTGAGTAATAAAACAGGCATTCAGTTTCATAAACCACTGTGTACTGGAAGTGTTTTATTACCTGGTAATGGCTTGTAATACATCAGAATTATTTGTGTTTTTATTAAGCTAAACAGTAACCTTCTTAAATTAAAAGCAGAAAGTCAAATGACTGAAAAATGTAAATTGAATGATGATATTAAATCTGTCTCTACAATTTGGCTATTTTATAGTAGAAGACCCTGTTTTGAAGGTGTGGTGGTTATTGGTTAACTGTTAGCAAGTGACATGCTAATAAGTGGCCCAAGGGTTTAAAAAGAGATGCTGATAAACTAATGACGGTATAATTAAGCTGGGTAGGAGTAAAATAATGCCAGTCTCCAAAGCATACCATAGAATTAATAAAACAGGAGTCTTTAAGAGAAGAATCATTGCACCTTTTTAATTACTGTGATAATTGCATGCTGCTTGCCTGTTCCCTAGGGGAAGATAGTGAACCACTTGGAGACTTGAAGCAGTATGCTAGGCATTCAATAATCTTAATAGTTCTCCAAAGCATTTGAAATATGTTTTCATTTTAGCAAAATGAGATTTCAGAGGCTTGTAATAGACAAGTCTTATCTGTAACTTCACTAAATAAAAGTGTCTGTAATTAGAATGGAAAGAAAAAAAGACTTTCCAGACTTGGTTGCATCACACTCACTGGAGCAATTGCCACTTTAGAAAGTGCTTTGTTTCCTTTTGATGAAATATAATGTTAGTGCTTTTACAGTGTAATTCTCAGGAAGCTAGAGAATCACATTCAGGTCTGGATTAGATTTAACCTAGAATGTGGAGTTCAGGTTTGAAGTAGTTTAATGGATTTTGGCCACGGTGAACTACATTTGAGTCAGACTTAGAAAAAAGGGGTTTTCTCATTTAAAGGTGTGAAAAGAAGGTCTTCCCTGGTTGTCTGGAATTTAAATCACCTTTTCCTATGCTCAAAACCCCCTCTCCCCACAGCCATCTCATATGGTGTTGTGAACCAAGATTGCTGAATGCCAGGGATAGGGCATCCACAGCTTGTCTGGGAATCCTGTTCCAACTGCCTCACCACCCCCACAGTAAAGAATTCCTTTCTAATATCTGATCTAAACCTATTTCCAGTTGGAAGCTCTTCCCTTTGTCCTTTCAGTATTGTTCCTGATGAGACACAGTCTGGCCCAAAACCAGTGGCATTGTCCATAGTAAAACTAAAGTAGATATGTTGAAGGATTAATAAGATAGACTGTGTTTTGTAGTTTTTTATCTTATCCATACCAGTATTCCAGTGGGTAGATTTATTTATTTCAGGGCTTTCCAGCATGCTTTGTCTTTGGCATTCATTGCATGATACAAATCTTGATTTGGTCTGTGTCCCTGCATTCTGGTGATGAAGCAGTGCCCCAGTTAAAACACACCTGAATAATGCAGAACTGCTAAATGAGCTCCTGCAATTTTTTTTTTTTTTTTTTTTTTTTTGCTATGGCCCCTCTGTTAGGAGACTTTATTTCTAATTTATATTGTTCCTTGAATTTGCTGGTGAACAGATAAGTCTTAAAGACAGCTACCTTAGGAAGAAAAGTTAAAATAAAATCCTCCCTCCTGCTAAGGGAGGGGATTGTTAAGGCCCCCTAGGGAAAGTTGTTTTCTTTTTCTCATAATTTTTTTTTTCCCTGTGACATTTGGCATAATTTCTTAAAATTAGCATATTTTCCTTTACTAAACCAGAAAACTCTACTGCAATTTAAGAAAATAAAAAAAAAAAATAAAAAAAAAATTAAAAGACTGCCATGAAAGAATCTTCTGATGAATTATCCCCAAACTGTGAGTTTTTTTTAACAGTAAGATCTCTGCTTCTTTACACTAAGACACAATTCCTGCCCTGGAGTATTTGCCAAAACAATCACTGTCAATTTAACCAATAATTTTCATACAATGAAATAGCAGGAATGTTTTAATTAACATAGTTGATTTTGCTGTCTCTTCTATCCCATCACCTGAGCTTGTCAGGAGGAAAGCTGTTACTCCCAGTACAACTGAGCTCTTGAAACACTGCTGCAGGTTTGTTGTAAAATGTCTGGTACTCCTAGAAGGCTTGTTACAATCTGGAAGAACAGGGCAGAAGAACTCTTTAAACCCCCTCTCTGGAAAAAGAATAATCTTTGTTTTTCTCAGTTCACTCATTGCTTTGGCTTCAGCTGGTAAATCTTTGAAGGTGTCAGAATTATTTCACTAGTTCTGTGTTGCCTACTGGCATCCACTGGCATTGTGAGAAAAAAATTTGCATGTGCTAGAATACACTGATGGAATGAGTATCCTCTTCCCTCTGATCAGTTCAGACCTGCATCAGGTTGCACCAGGCAGAAGTATCTCTGGGCAAATGGCACAGACCAGGAACTGTCTTGAGCCTTGCATTTAACTTCGGTGTGCTCAGGTATGCTGGACAGTACTCAGAGCCACCACTTTCCTCCTGCCCATGACAGGGAGCACTGTCCAAATCCTACAGGATGGACAGTCTGTATCTTCTTGTGTACAACAGTCTGAATAATAAGTCAGTTTTGCAGATGGTTTTCCCTGTTCTCCACCCTCCCACTCTCATTAATTCCCTAGTTAGTCTCTCCCTTTGTCAGTATCCATGCCCTAGCCTTTCATGAAGCTCAGTGGTGCTTGCTGCTGATTTCCATGCCCTTCCCTGTTCTATATCATTATTAGGAAAGATGAGTTCCTAAGAACTTCTCTAGGTTGAAATGGCAGCTGCCTTTCACTGTCGTTCGACTTGAAACTTTTGGCTGTTTCGTCTCAAGAAAGGAGGAAGGATCTTACTGTAACTGGGAATTAAGTTATTCCTTCTTGTTGCTATACCGTGGGGAGCTGCCTGTGAAGAAGTTCAGGGTATTTTCAAGCATATAACAAAGTCTTAACATTGCTTAGTTTTGTGATCATAGGAAAATGTCAACCTGAAGCCATACTGCAGGTTTTTTTCCATAACTCTTTTCCTTAGCAATTTTCTTCAGAAGTTTTAACCAAGGTTTTTGCAGCTGTGTTGTATTAGAGCTAGACCTCCGGTCAGAGACACCTGAACCCTGAGGAATAGGGTGCAGGTATCGCACCATTTTATTTTCCATGGAAAAGTTCCATGATATTTCTGAAGTCTCCATTCCTAACCTGAAACTGTAATAAACTTTAGGAGAAGGTTGCATTGATTTATCAGAACTAGAAATCTACAGTGAACTTATATTTTATTTATGGTTTTATTATGAAAGTAAGATCCTACTGTATTGTCCTTTTTTCTACTGCCTTTCTGATACACAAACCCTTTCATATAAGGTCACTTTCTCCTAAGGGTAAAAGCTAGTTTTGGATTTCCTGCATGTAGCAGGTGACTTGCAGCTTTTACATGTGCAGGAGGTAAACTGAAAGATTTTAATAGAATTCCAAGAAAATACTGTGTAGTGAGATCCATGTCCATGTGTCTGTATCACTGGTCAC